ACCCAATCAAAGCAGCAAAAATATAAAAGAAGTCCCTGGGACAACTTCAAGCATACCCTCATTCGCATCATGGGGGTGTCAGAAGAAAAAGAGAGAGAGCAAGAAATTGAAAACCTATTCAAAAAAATTATGAAAACTCCTAACCTTGAGAAGGAAATAGACATACAAGCCCAAGAAGCGCAAGGAGTCCCAAACAAGATGAACCCAAAAAGGCCCACACCAAGACACATCATGGTTGAAATGAAGAAGGTTGGGGACAAGGAGGGAATTGAGACCAGTGGGAGAGGAGCAGTTGGTTGCCCACAGGGAGCTCTCACGGAATTATTCACTGATTTCTCAACAAAGGCTTTGCAGGTCAGAAGGGATTGGCATGAAGTGTTCGGGGAGGTGAGGGGCATCCATCTACAGCCAGGATTGCTGGGCCTGGTAGGGCTATCATTCTATCATTTGGAATCTGGGGACATGTAGAGGGCTTCCCAGACAGAAAGGAGCTGGATGGCTTCAATGCCACCAGGCCGGTATTGCATGAGGTATTGGTAGGTCTTCTTTGGGAAGAAGAAAAAAGAAAAAAGATAAAGAAGGTGAACAATAAGATAGCAATAAATACATATCTATCAATAACTGAATCTAAAAAACAAAATAAATGAACATGCAGGAAGAAACAGACTCATAGATACACTTCGACGGTTCCCAGGTGGGAGAAGGAGTTGGGGGGCTGGGTGAAAAAGGTGAAGGGATTAAGAAGTACAAATGGGAAGTTACACAATAGTCATGGGGATGTAAAGTACAGGAAATATGGTCAATAATATTCTAATAACTGTGTGTGGTATTAGATTGGGGTGGGAGGGAAAGAAGGTTATTGTTATTACAGAAATATGGGAAAGAAATAGGAAGCAATTAACTCTGATTTGATGATGTTTATTTTGACCTAAATCATGTTAAAGTTAGTTCCATGAGGGAGTTGTGGTATGCTATGTTTCCCCAACTCATGCTCATGTTACTCCGTGCCTTCGTTTCAGGGAGAGCTCAATTTGTAAAAGGCTGGGCAGAGACGTCTAATGTGGAGAGGAAGATGTATAGGGTGTCCCAAAATTCACGCAAGATTTGCAATTCAATTCAATTGCAAATCTTGTGTGAATTTTGGGACACCCTATATTTGGAAGTTGGGATGCGATGGGAAGGGGCCTGGAAATTACCTGCTCCAAGGAAACTGGCTCAGCCTTCTCCGTGTTTGGGTTTCTCTGAGGCAGAAATGGTCGTGTGGTTAGGGCCTGGGGTGTGTTTCCCATGAGGCAGAACACATGGTTCCTTGGGTTCAACCCAGACTGAGTGCAGATGGAGGGCTGCTCTGAAGAGCCTTTGTTTCTTTAGCCAGTACCAGCACTTACCCACATGTCAATAGGCACAAAACAAATGTTTACAGCCAAATTTTACCAACAACACATTGTAAAAGCAAAACCACCTCATCCCCACTGCTAAAGAATTCATCTGTAGCCCTGACCGGTTTGGCTCAGTGGCTAGAGCGTCGGCCTGTAGACTGAAGAGTCCCGGGTTCGATTCCAGTCAAGGGCATTTGGTTGCGGGCATATCCCCAGTGGGAGGTGTGCAGGAGGCAACTGGTCGATGTTACTCTCTCATCGATGTTTCTAACTCTCTATCCCTCTCCCTTCCTCTCTCTAAAAAAATCAATAAAATATATTTTTTTAAAAGAACTCATCTGTAATAAGGACACATTTCCATTTGCAAATCCAAACATGCTAATCACAAAGGTAAGTTAAAAAAATAGTTTAAAGGGAAAACAAAGCATTCCATTACCTGTTCCAGATAATGAAGAAGTAAAATTTGTCAGAATATTGCTTTTTGTATGAAATTAGCCCATAAATTCTGTTTACAATCCAAAAACATTCGCTAAGTCTGTCAAAACACGCCTGATTGAACAATAGTCCCCTTGAGATGAATGGCCATCGTAGCGCCAGTTCCCACTAACAGTCCTGACAGCCATCATGTTTGCAGTTTACAAAGCACTTTTGTATTCATGACCTTGCTCAATCCTCGCAGTGGTCCCATTAGGAAGTCAGGGCGACTGTTACCCCCACGTGACACATGAGAAGACTGAGGCTGGAGAGGTAGTGACCTGCTGCAGAGTGCAGCAAGCTCAGCTGGGAGGGCCTGAGAATGAGCATCGGAGTTGGCCCTGACACTGAGCTCCAGGCTCTTTCCCATGCCCCCATGCTGTTGCTGGTACTTTAAGCACCAGCTGCTTCAAGGACCAGACATCCCAATGGGGCCAGGAATCTCTCAACTCTCTCGCTAATTCAATTCTTTATTTATTCCATGGCCCCTCGCTGAGCGTTGCCAGGCACAGGAGATAACGTGGTGACACAACATGCATCTACCCACATCCTCATCCAACTCAAAGTCAACTGGGGGAAAACACACAACCAAACAAACACGAATAGTAGAGTGTGGTCATGCTATGATAGGGCAGCCATGGAGTCACTGCCCTAAACCCAATGCCCCAGTTGTGAGTACCATTCAGCTCTCCCTGGGGTTTGCTGCTCTACGTAATAAAAACAACAACCATTTACTAGGTGCCTACGCTGTGCCAGCAATGCCTTTGGCTTAGACACAATCACTCATTGACTTTTTGTTATTGTTGTTGTAAATCCTCACCTGAGGATATTTTTCTCACCAATTTTTAGAGAGAGTGGGAGGAGGGGGAAGGGAGGAGGGAGAGATAGAGACAGACACAGAGAAAGAAACATCGATTTGAGAGAGACACATCAATTGTTTGCCTCCCACCTGGCCCCAGTCAGGGCCAAGAATCAAACCTACAACCCCGGTACATGCCCTTGACCGGGAATCAAACCCATGACCCTTTGGTGTGTGGGCGGATGCTCTAACCATTGAAAAACACCAGCCAAGGCTCTCATTGACTTCTTGCTATAACTCCTACAACTAGGTATTGGGATTTCATTTTATGGAGGAGGACACTGGAGCTCAGAGAAATTTAATAACTTGCTGTATTTATTTTCGTACTTATTCCCCCAAAAGTTAGTGCCTTAAAACAACATTTATCATCTCACAGTTGCTGTGAGTCAAGAACCTCAGCATGGCTTAGTGTGTCCTCTGGCTTAGGATATCTCACAGGCCCAGTCAAGTCCACTGGAACCACAGTCATGTCAAGGTTCCATGAGAACAATCAGCTGTCGAGCTCTCACATGGCTGTTGGAGGATCAAGTTTCTCAGGCGCTGTTGGGTTGAGGGTCCCAGGCCCATATCAGTTGGCTGAAGACCGCCCTCAATCACATTGGCGGTCATGTGACCGCCCCTTGTCACATGAACTTCTTTGTCACAACATGGCAGCTTGCCTCATCAGAGTCAGTGAGAGTATGTAAGCCAGACAGAACAGCCTTTTACAGCCTAATCCCCGAGGTGGCATTGGGCCCATCGCCTTTGCCAGATTCTATCCATTAGAGTCACTAGGTCCAACCCCCTACACACATGCAAAAGGAGGTAAATATCAAGAGGTGGGAATCACTAGAAGCCATTTTAGAAGCCACCTACCACCCTTGCCAACAGCTCATTTGTAGTGTATCCAGGACTCAAATCCATGTCCGTCTGACTTATAACATCCACGTTCAATCCATGAGCTGGCAAGAGCCTTACAAGTTTCCGACATGTACATAGTTCGTCCTGTATTTCCAAAGCATTAGTACAGGTGATTCGTTTCATTCAAGACACATACAGGCAGATATGTTAATTCTCCTCTTATAAGAGAGAAAACTGAAATTCACAGGGCATAAATGACTCGCAGATTTGTGTAAATCCTTATAATTTTGTGTTGCTTTTAATGACAGTTTAGTGTTGGAGATTAAATGATTTTCCTCAGCTCACCCCAATGGAGACTGGATGCAAGTCTTCTGCCTCCAATTCTCAAGAAGACCAAGGCCTCGATTATCCAAGTCACTTACTTCCACTGCTTCTTTTTCTACAAAGCCCTCATATGCAGTTCCTAACCCTATTCATCTGTGGGAGGCAGCATCAGAGACCTCAAAGCCTCCTAAATCCCATCAGAGGGGTCCTTGCTCCCACTGCTTCCCAGTGTGAGGGCAGCTCCAAGGCCACCATGATGGTAAGATCGGGGATGAGGCGAGAGGAGGAGCTCCCAACGTTTTCAATGGGCCCCTGTATGTTGAATGCACATCTCACTGTCCTGCCCATGAGTCACCAGGTGGCTTTTGCAAAGAGTTAAAAGTGAAAAACGTCCCCTCAGTACTCAAAGGGAGCACCAATCTTGCTTTCATTCTTCGTGGATGGCTTTCACCCTTCTTCCTCCTGAGTCCCAATCACTAAGGACATCCAAACAGTTTCTAAATCCGTCCTCTGTTTCTTGGTCACATGATGGCTCCTTTTCTAAGTGGCTTCCTTGCCTCTAGTCTCTACCCCCTCAATCTATTCCCCATGCCATCCAGAGTGAGCTTTCTAAATTCAGATCTGGCCTTGAAACTCTTCCTGCTTCAATTTTTCAATGCTTCCCCGTTGCTCTTGGCATAAAGAGATATTCCTTATCATAGAAAGCAAGGCCCTGCCAGCCTCAGCTCTGACCATCGTCCTGTTATTATCTCTGCTCCAGCCACATTGGCCAGACATGGACCGTGTCTCTCGTGTACCAAACACTGTCATTTTCTGACTATTCCTGCCCTCATCTCCATTTAACCCTTCACCTGGTCAAGACCTCCAACCATCCCTCATATGCCCATTCCTCATGAAAGCTTTCCCTGACTGTTTCCAGGCCTGAACTTGGTATCCTTCCTTTGTCATCCCATGGCATGTCTTGTGCCTGTCACATGTGTTGTCAGTGTCAAGAGGACAGAGCCTGCATTTACCTTATCTCTAGTAGTGACTTAGCAAACATTTGTCGAAGGAATGAGTGGACGAATGCAACCTCTGTTCCCATGTTCCTGGGATTAAAGGCTTCCTTCCAGTTTTTTACTCACCAGCCCACAGGGCACTGAGCTTCCTTTGGTCTTGGTGCTCCCCCCTGGAGATTGTCCAGTGGAGGTGAAGACCTCCCACAACTTCATTCATTTGTTCCGTCAGCAAATGTTTGTGCCAGGCATGTTCTGGGTGCTGGAACAGAGTGAAAAATTAGTTAAGTGCATAAAAGTCCCGACCGAAATGAGTTCTCAGTCTGGTGTCTGGAGCTTATGTTATTTTAGAGAGTTCCCCGGGGTGGCATGATAAGCTCATGTTTATAAAGTACCTTAATAAAGACACTACCCTGGTATCACTCTTCTTTCTCAACTACATCTGGTCTGTAGTCACTATCACACTAACAGCCTATCCTAGATTACTGTAATCATGTGCTGTTCCATTCTGTTCTATTGTTGAAGTTTTGGGGTATGTGGCCCGTAGATAGCAATACTCCTCAGAATTGATGACAGCAAACACACCAGCTGCAACATCGTTTGGAATTGTTTCTGAGATGGTAATAATTTTAGGAGATGCTGTTTAAAAAAAGTAATATGGGTCAGTAATATAGTCAGTAGTACACTTAAACATGTTATGACCCTCTCTCCATTCCCTTCTAGTTAATATATATATAAAAAAAAAAATCCTTCTCCTCGGAGGCCTGGGGGTTTGTGAGCAACCACAGGGTTTTAAGCCATTATATTTGGAGTGTGCACGGTTAGCTCTCAAGGCGGCCCCCACCATGGGAGCAGAGGACATGACCCAGCAGGATGAAACTGACTTTTTCTCCTCTGAGACATACATTACTTTATGAGTGTATGTTTTTAGTCTCTCACTGGTTTTAATAGCAACAATACTAATAATTATGTGGCCCAGCCAGCATGGCTCAGCGGCTGAGCATCAACTTATGAACCAGGAGGACACGGTTCAATTCCAGATCAGGGCACATGTCAGGACTGTGGGCTCGTCCCCCAGTGTGGGGTGTGCAGGAAGCAGTCAATCAATGATTCTCTCTCATCCTTGACGTTTCTCTCTATCCTTCTCCCTTCCTCTCTTAAATCAATAAAAAATATTTTTAAAAAGAAAAAGAGAGGGGAAATGGGCCAAGGGGACGGCAGTCAGGTTCAGGAGGGGCTGAAGGCAGGCTCAGGAATGTACTGTGCTGTAGCCAGCAGGAGCCATTGTGGATTTTTCTATGTGGTCTGACATGATCAGGTCTGGGCTCCAGAAAAAACAGCTCTGGTGTGAAGGATGGATTGAAGGAAAAAGAGAGGGCATTCACTTAGGAACTCGCTGTAATAACGATTCACGTAAGAGACAGAAGGGTTGTGAGTGGGGCATTCTTACAGTTAAATGTAAATGAAAGTGAGGATGAAGGCAAGACTAAGAGCAACGTCTTAGATGTGGGAAAGAGAACGGGTTCAGGCTCCAGAAGCAGCTTGAAGGAGAGGGAGAGGCCCTCACTTGGTGCAGCCCGGCCACCCAGGAACAAGAGGCAGGGCCAGGAAGCCAGCCGCCATCAGGAAATCTGGTTTCTGGAACAGGCTGTCACCACAGAGCAAAGTGAAGACTCAGGAAAGATGCAAAGTGGCCCTAGAGCCCAGGAGCCAACCCAATGCCCTACTTTTAAATTTTAGTATTATTATTATTATTATTATTACTATTATTAAACAGAGGGCCTCTGGTGCCTTGGCCCTGTGACAGAGTGGCCCATCTATCCCCAAAGCCTCAGTGTTCTGATGGGCTCTCGCTTCTCAGGCAGGTTCTGAGGCAGAAGCATGAGCCTGGGGCACAGTTGTGTTTGGGGGTGCAGCGCCCCTCCCTCTGAACCACATCAGAACAAGTGGGAGAGCCCAGGGACTTTCTCCCCGGGGAGGTGTGCACCCTTGGCAGCATCCAGCCACACAGCCAATGTGGGGCCAGACAGACACGAACACCCTGGTCTGATCCTCCCTGACTTTGCTTCAGTTTTATTGCTGTTAAGTCCCGACAGCGTAAGCCCCGTTAGGTATCTCCAAGATCTCCAGTGTCCATGCCGAGAGCCTCCCCTGCAGGCCTTCAAAGCCTCTCTAGCAGAAGCATCTCTGATCCTTATAAAGGATTTAATTGCACAAAGATCGGAATCCCTTGATTCATTTTCAATTAGCACCGCAAGCTGTTTATTTCCACCCAAAAAGAATACTTTTCAGAAGCCCAAGCAGCCGCTCCCTTGGCAACTCACCCCCATCATTTTACTGCCACTCTCTTCAGGGACCCCAACTCCAAGTTTTAAAAGTGAGTGCCTTTTTTTTCCTCACATTTCTGTGGCTGCCACACCAAGATCGGCCTCCGTAAGCCCCCACACCCTGGCCCTTGGCCCTCCCTGTTGAGCACCCAACCCACAGATGAGCTGGGAAGTGGCCAGACCACAGCTGGGGAAGGTTGGCTGTGTGTGCCTGACCTTGGCAGCTGGGATGGTGTGTGCTGCTCAGAGGCCGGTGCTATAATAGCCTCAGTGTTGGAGGACAACGTGCCGGCCGAGGGCTGAACAAAGGGCCGCTTGTATGAGCTGGCCCGCATTTGCTGCTGTTACTGTCAGCTGGCTCCACTGGCCATCAGATCCTCCTGCCTCTCTCCAGCCCCTTCTCTTTGCTCCCAGGGACGGTTTCCAGGTCTGGACTTGGTATCCCCAGACACCACTGCCTCTTGCAAACTCCTGTTCTTAGTGTCAGGACCACATGACCAGACTCAGGACCACAGAGAAATACCACCATAGCAATGTGAATAGTGCAGCTCAAGTCTGCGTGTGCCAGGCATGTGTGTGCCCATGGAGTCCTCACTACAAGCCCAGAAGGTAGAGCTCACGCTGTTTACACGCATGAGGAAACTGAGGCTGGAGCCCTCCATTAACTGTGCGATGTTGCATTGCAGGCAAGTATAGGCTCTCGCCAGGGCTGCTGACTCCAGCGCTGAGCTGGTCACCGCCACTCTCCGCTTCTGAGTTCACTGATTTCATGTTTCTTCATTCACATTCTCTACTCCATTTGCCAGCCCTCAAGTAAGGCAGAGGGAAGACAAAAGCTACCCTCCTTTTGGTATTGAGAGTCCTTAAACTTTGGCCAAGGTGCAAATTTGGGAGAAACATGGAATAGACTGTCTCACCAAGCCAGAGACCAAACTTATCAGGGAAGGGTTAGAATAACAGGCAGAATCTAACAAGGTGGAGTTTCACAAGGATGGAGCCCTACATGGGGCTTCCAAACACCACGTGGGTAAATAGAGATGCCTGTGGAAACATCATGGGACAAACACCTGAGTCAACACTGATATTTGAAACAAGACTAACAATTACGGTGCTAAGAGCTAACATATTGCACATGTACTAGATACCAGCACTGTGCTACGTACTGTCCTTGTATTAACGAATCAAATCCCCATTTAAAATAAACCCATAACCTTGTGAGGTTAGGGCCATTAGTACTCCAAGTTCACAGAAGAGGAAACTGAAGCTCTGAAAGTTCTTAAAGTAATTCCCACAATCCCCTCACTACTAAGTGGCAGAGCTGAGGTTAGAGCAGGGGTGGGCAAACTTTTTGACTCAAGGGCCACAATGGGTTCTTAAACTGGACCGGAGGGCCGGAACAAAAGCATGGATGGAGTGTTTGTGTGAACTAATATAAATTCAAAGTAAACATCATTACATAAAAGGGTACGGTCTTTTATTTCAATAGTTTTATTCATTTCAAACGGGCCTGCGGGCCGTAGTTTGCCCACGGCTGGGTTAGAACCATGGGACCTGATTTCCATTCTGCTCGGGCGCCCTCTGACCTCTACAAGGTCATTAGATAACCTGTGCAATCGTGGACCGCATGCACTGTAGTTTCTAGAATGAGAAAAATGTGTCCCATGCTGCCCTGCACCACACCGGGCCAGGAGGCACGCTTTAGAGCAGTGATTCTCAACCTTCTGGCCCTTTAAATACAGTTCCTCATGTTGTGACCCAACCATAAAATTATTTTCGTTGCTACTTCATAACTGTAATGTTGCTACTGTTATGAATCGTCATGTAAATATCTGATATGCAGGATGGTCTTAGGCGACCCCTATGAAAGGGTCGTTCGACCGCCAAAGGGGCCACGACCCACAGGTTGAGAACCGCTGCTTTAGAGTCAGACAATCAGGTGAGGAGCTCATTCGGAGGAAAGTGGTCAGCACGGCAGAGGAGCCTGAGCCACATCCCACGAGGAACAGCTGAAGGAGTTGGCTACAGTTCCCTGAAAACGGTGCTTCATCATTTTCTTCAAATATCAGGAAGGCTCATTCGTGGAAAGTAACTGGGTTTGTTATCAGTGGCCAGAGGGTGCGAGTTGTAGGAAGACAGTCTTCAGCCCAGTGGTCTGTCAGATCTGGTCAAAGGGAGAGGGATAGGATTTGCACTTTACTGGAGGGGCTCTCACAGGCTGGACCACTACATGGCAAGGTGTAGTCATGGCAACCCCAAGAAGCAAAAGTACAGCTAAACAAGGTCCAGTAGCGTGCTCTGTACACAATGATTTCCCCATCTTTGAGGATGGTCTGTCCCCACCTCTCCATTCTCAGAAACTGCCCATTTATAACTATTCTGTACTAGTGACCCAGTGCATGGATTCGTGCACATTGAAAGGAAGTTAATTATAAGGTGGCCGGCGGGGCAGGACCGGGCGAGAAGGGCCGAACATGCCCTGGAGCCAACCTCCCAGGGTCCCTTTGGCAGGTGGGGTCCTTCAGCCTGGCCTGTGGGGATCGGGCTGAAACCAGCTCTCTGACATCCCCCCCAGGGGGCCTGGAGGGTGCGAGGGCA